GCAGGAGGTTTTGAGTACAAAGGGATTCAGGCAGTGATGGAGCTCTTCTCAGTTCGATTGTGCCACTGCTGACCAGGATGTAAACTGGCAAAAGCAGCAAACCTGAACTCTTTGAAAGGATATATTTTACAGCATGAAAATGATATTTTAATGAAGAAAATAAAAGCTGCAATGGAAGAAGATGGGGCAGGGTGGAGAAGCAGCCTCATCTGACCAAGAAAGGTCAGGTTTGCTTTCTCCGAGGTCACCAATGGAGACAAATGAGAAAAGACTCTTGTGATCACCTCACTATTGTGGAAATCCAGGCCCCAACCCCTAAGACCTTCTCTCCCTTCCAGAATAAACTGTGGCACTCACATGGCTCCAGAAGAGACAAGAGACCATCCTTCCATCCATCCATCCAGGAGTTGGCTTTGTGCACATGGCACAACACACACACTAGCTTTTCCATGACACATCACCAAAGCAGCTCTATCCCTGGGGTCTTGGGAACTCCTGGGGGGTAACCCGCCTGGTTATGTGAAGGGCCATCCTCTATCTATGTGACTGTCCACTGCATCCTCACCCAGCTACATGTGGGACAAAATTTTTTCTTTTTAATTTGGCTTTAGGGACAAAGCCCTCAAATGCTTGATATGCTTACAGGGACTCAGTGATGGAAGTCTCCCACTTTTCATGCTGAGTTGGAAATGGACATGGGCCTCCCATACTATATTTAGGAAGAAGTATGAGAAACTACTCATGATTCATGAACATTTGGAGAAGCGGCTTGCAAAAGCCTGAGTGTGCTGAAATACATTCATAAAGTGGGTGTACAGCTGTGTGGGAAAAGTTCCCCATGACAGTCTGCTTGTTAAGAATTGCCCAGACAGAAGGGACCCCATGGATTAACCCTGTAAGACACAGGCCAACAGACTCCCATCAAAGCCAGATGCCCAAACTCATACAAACCAACCAGGCCATTTTGGACCATTCACAAGCATCCTCCTACCTACTTTAAAAACCTTGCTTGCTAACCAGCCCAACCACCAGATTGCCATGAACCTGCTACTGTGAGATGTCACAAATCGATAGGGTCCATTGGGTGCTTTTATGGGCAAGGCCCTCACTTAGGAGAATTCACAATGACAGCAATGACAATCACCTTTACCTTGAAGGTTGTGGAGCACATGGCTGGGTGAAGGCCAGGGAAAAATCTAAGAGGATCTGAATTCTGCATCCAGGTGCCAGAGAAATGAAACAAGTTCATTTTCAAGGTTCCTTCCTGAGTTGGAAGAGCTGTAACATGGATTCTCCTAACATTTTCATGAAAGTGTCTCTTTCTGCTATCAGAGGAGGTAATTCTGTTCCCTGCAGCCCAGGGCATCATAACAGACAGCAGTGATGCAGGGATGGAATGAAGAGAGAAGCTGGCAGAGACAGAAGGGCCAACAGGTAAGGCATCTGCTGGCTCCTGAGCAGAGAAGCAGGGCTGTCACTCTTAGTGCAGGTGGCTAGGACTTGGGGCACCCAGTGGCTCCAGGGAATGTGTCCCTCTGTACCTGTGAAAGTGAGGCAGAACCTTCTGGGTCTGACCCTGGTTGCTGAGGCAAAGAGCACATCTACCAGAGCGCCATTGGTGCACCTCACTGCAAGGTCACCCCACCCTGCCCGTCCCACCTCCTCTATGCCATGTTCTCCTACATACAACGTGCACAACATGACAAATACAGTAAGACACAGCAACACAGACCTTCCTGGCAACTTCCAGCAGAGAAAGCAAGGCTAGGCACTGAGGAATGACTCACCTATCATAACACAGGACTTACTTTTACTCTGAGTTTGATGGTGGTAAAGGAGAGAGAACATGCATGCTTGAAGGGGTTAAAGATGTGTTTTATTTTTCTTTTCCACTTTATAAGCTAGAAAGGACACCTGAATAGGCTGACAAGGTGCTCTCTACCACTGGTAGGAGCTCAATACATATTTGCTTGACCAAAACTTAAGAATTTGAGATAAACATGTAAAACAACTCTGAAATGAATGTTTCACCATTAAGCATTTCTTCTTTTGACTACATCATTGGGGGCACTCCAATTCCTCCAGGTATTGGAAGGGTATACACAATCATTAGATCAAGACCAACAGTCTCTTCAATACCTACTGAACACATGGGCTTTTTCTTTAAGGACTCTGACAACTTAGGACAGGACTTTAGTAGACGTTACATAAAATCAACTTGGTGAAAGTCTACATGTTGCCTGGTTACAGAAACTTTATCAACCAAACAGGAGACAAATGCACACAAACCCTAGAGAAGGAAGTCTGGCTTCTCTGGGGGAGGGCCAGAGCTTGCCCCACGGCCCCAGGCCCCAGGGACAGACAGCCAAAGTAAGGTAACACACACATTATTTATTCTCACATGCCCAAACAGGATGACATTTCAGCCTGATGCAGTCACATGTTTTGACTGTATTTCTGCCTTCATCCCATCTCTGTAAGAGGGTGTTTCTGTAAGGAAAGAATCTCCAATATGATGGTTAAAAGTCGATGGGGGAGGGTTAGTATGTAGGGCTTCATTTGGCGGCACCCTTGGGAATCTATCAGTTCTGCACTAGAAGAGCACCTGTCTGCTAAGGGAATCATTCCTGTGAGTTCTGAGGTTAAGGAATTATGGCAGTGATGGGTACTGGCCCAATTTGCAGGGGTGATGAAGGACACACTTTGTTTTATCAACTTTTTATACTATATTCTGGCAACAGTTCATGCAAATGATCTAATATATATGTGTAGAGAGCAGGTGCATTTTCCATGACTAATGGCAGCTGGGGTCCAAAGGGGCAGAGATCCAGGCTTGGATGGAGTGACGTGTTTCTCTGTAACAGGTCACGTGGTTCAACAGACCTCCCCTGCCTCACTCCTATCCAGGATAACCATTTTTCACAGGGAAGGCAAGGCCCCAGTGGGGTAGATCACTTGTTCCAGCATCAGAGCTCAGGCAACCTGGTGAGGCTGCAATGCCTGCCCATCTCAGCCCTCAGGCGGACTCTCCAGAGCTGTGAAGCAGGCACTCTCAAGCTGGTCCCCCTCCATCCTAATCCATGTGTCTCTGGGAGGTGGGGGCTTGGGAATTGGTCTCCTTCCTGAAAAACCGACTTGCAGAGTATATACAAGATGATACCATGTGCACAGAACTTAAAATACCTGCAAAACCAAGGGTCCGAGGCTGGGTTGTGTTGTCTGCTCTGCATTCGTATGCTGTGGTCCTAACCCCCAGTACACCTCAGAACATGACTTTATGTAGAAATACGGATGTAATTATTTACAACGGAGAGCAGTGAGCTCTCATCCAATATGACTCTCTTTACAAAACAGAACTTGACCATAGTTGGCCACAGAGATTGAGGCACACAGGGAGAAAGCTAGTTGAGGGTAAAGGCAGGTATCAGGAACAGTGCACATACGGGCTGGGCCAGGAGTGCCTGTGACAGCCAGCGAACGCCCAGGGGCTTGGGACCGACCCTCACGGCCTCAGAAGGCACCGACCCTGCCAACACCCAGCTTTCACGCTTCTGTCCTCTAGAACCACGACACGGTGTACTTCTGCTTGAGCCGCCCCAGTGGTGCTTTGTGACAGCAGCTCTGGCTAGCTGGACACCAGTACTAAACACTGCTTAGGAAAACATCCTCGTGCAGTAAAGGCATGGGGATACAGAACCCCAAACCGGCGGGGGCGGCCCCTGAGGGGCACCAGCATTCAACACAGGGGTCCCTACTGCCCCTGGAAAGGGTATAAATCTCTTGAGTTGGGTGGCTGGTGGGTCCAAAGATTTTTTTTTCATTATGTCATTTTGTATGCCTCCAATGAAATATTTTAAAGAAGCATTCACTTTACAAACTAATAAAAAATTAATGCAGTTAATAAAAAAAAGAATTAAGGCTTCTTAAGAATTTTAAAAAGCAGCTGTAATTCTCTTAGCTCAGTCCCACTGTTTGGGGCACCCCCAGTGCTGTGCCACGGGGGAATGAAGGCTCCAGAACATCAAGGAATCCCACTCATCTGAGACAAAGCCAGGCCAGACCCCAGGCTCTCTTCCAGCCCTTTCCCTCCGAGGACAGCAGCCGCTACACATAAGGTCCATGTAGTCGACAGCAAACACATTTGGCCTGTTCACCATTTCCCATGAAGTAATGCCACAGTCATGATCAGAAGTGTCAAAAGACACTGGAAGTATTTCTGCTTTGTGGAAAACTGCCTAGAGCCCATTCTTCAGGGTGTTTTAGGAGCTCAATATATCTCTGGTCCGAAATCTAACAGGTTCATATACATACGCATTTCACATGTATATACATACACACCATATACAGCTGACCCTCAGCCAACACAGGGGTAAAGGATGCTGACCGCCTGCATAGTTGAAAATCTGAATATAACTTCTGACTCCCCAAAACCTAACTACAAATTGCCTACTGTGGACCAGAAGCCTTACTGATAACCTAAACAGTCAGTGAACACAGATTTGATATGTTATGTGTAATATATACTGTATATGTACAGTGAAACTAGAGGGAAAACAGTGTTTTTAAAAACTGTCAAAGTCTCCAGAGGATTTTCCAATATAGTTATTCAGGGGGAAAAAACATGTACATGGGAACCCTTGTGGTCCAAACCTGTGTGATTCAAGGGTCAGCTGTGTGTACACCACAGATAAACACCAGCCCAAAGCGGCATCACTAAGGAGAAGACCAAGGGCCCGGACTGCACCCCACCCCTTCCCATGGCCATCACAACTGCTCTGGGTGTTACCTCCAGTTCAATTTCATCTGAACCTAACTATCGAGGGAAGAAAGAACACACTCCCTTGTCCCATCCAAGGAGTGGAACAGCCCCACAGACCTCCCTTCTCTCCTTGAACTCTCCTAAGAGTGTTTTTAGTCTTTCCTTCCCCATAGCCTGGTGTTTTGATCGATGGCAGACTGCTGGGCCCAAGATTACCCCCAACAGAAACCCGCCCTCTTACCCGACTCCTGCAGATAGCGATACACCAGGAAGTTCACCTCGTCACTGGTGATGCTCATCTTAGCCTTACCTCACGGCGATGAGGTTTTAATGCAGTGGGACCACCTTCTGTGGGAAAAGCAAGAGGAAAAAAGCATAAAGTTTTTGAAACAGTGCCTGTATTTTTTTAACTGTGTTATTTTTAGAAAACTAAAAAAACACCATCCATCATGGTATCCCTATGAAGGCAATGAATGCTTGATTTGTGCTATATTTTGTGATCATGTGATTACATACAATTTGTTAATTATATATATAAATATATAAACACACATCCAGGTGAATGTTTCCCTGCAAAAAAGCATTGGTATATCTTATAGCACTGGGATAGGGTCAGGTACAAACCACACCAAAGAAGACAAATTCAGAGACAACAGAAAATGAAAATAAAAACCAACATTTTATTCAACACAGGCATGAGTGTGTTAGGATCACAATGCCCTTGGTAAAGGGCATGCATGGACCAGAAGCACGCTTCCACACTCGCTGGATGAGACAGCAAGTGCTTCTGCAGACAGAAGGTTACTGAGAAGACCTGTAGTTATGGCAACACCCCAGAAGGTCACCAAGTGGCCCACATTGTGCCTGCTGCTGTGGAGAAGTGATTAATCACAATGCCTTTCACTCATAGAAGTTTACACGGTAATTGGATAGTTGCTCTACCTATAGGGTTACATAACAAAGCCCTGAGAAGGAAGATGAGCATCATGATGGGCTATGCAGATGTCTGTGTCACTTTGACGCTACTTGTACAAGAGGCCAGGTCTCCAGAAGCTGGCGCGTAGCAGAGAGAACACCCAACCCCACCTCTGAGCATTTGCATTTTGCCACAGAGATGCTGCATCAGTATCAGTCTGGCTAAGACCTCCAGGACGTACAAGGCAGGTGGTGACTGCAGGTGAGGGGGCAGGGGATGGACACGATGGGATCTGAAGGAGCCATGTAGAGAGAGATTTTCCTCACGACCACTCAGGTGGGAAATATGAGCAAGCAGCCCAGAGAACAGAGGCCAATCAAACAGAAATATCTGGGTGGACCAGGGCTTCCACATCAACCCAGAAAAGGCCAAGAAAGGCCAGGATCTCTTGCCCTGATATCACTTTCACCAAGCATTTAAGATGTCTGCAAAGGGTTTTTCACAGTCACTGACACAAGTTTTGGGGTTTCTGTTTGTTTTTGTTAGCTAAATGTTTTCATTGTTTTGTTTTTTATTTTGGTATCATTACAATTACATGAAGTTGCTCTACTAGACTCCCCCCATCACCAAATCCCCCCCATACCTCATTACAATCAGTGTTCATTGGCGCAGCAAGATGCTGTAGAATCACTACTGGTCTTCTCTGTGCGTGCAGCCCTCTGTGTACCTGCCCGCACATTATACATGCTAATAATAATGCCTCCTTTTCTTTCTCCCCTCCTCTTATCCCTCTGTTCCCATACATCCTTCACAGTCTCCTTCCCTTTGGTAACTATTAGTCCATCCTTGGGTTCTCTGAGTCAGCTGCAATTCTGCTCCTTCAGTTTTTTTCTTTGTTCTTATACTCCACAGATGAGTGAAATCATCTGCTATTTGTCTTTCTCTGCCTGGCTTATTTCACTGAGCATAATACCCTCTTACCTCCATCCATGTTAGTGCAAAGGGTAGGATGTGTTTTCTTCTTATGGCTGAATAATATTCCATTGTGTATATGTACCACATCTTCTTTATACATTCATCTACTGATGGACACTTAGATTCCTTCCATATCTTTGCTTCTGAAAATAGTGCTGCAATAAACATAGGGGTGCATATATCTTTTTGAATCTGAGGACTTGTATTCTTGGGGTAAATTCCACCTCAAATGGTATTTCTATTTTTAGTTTTTTGAGGAACCTCCATACTGCTTTCCACAGTGGTTGCACTAGCTTACATTCCCACCAGCAGTGTAGGAGGGTTCCCCTTTCTCTGCATCCTCGCCAACATTTGTTGTTCCTGGTCTTTTCTATGTTAGCCATCCTTACTGGTGTGAGGTGATATGTCATTGTGGTTTTAATTTGCCTTTCCCTGATAATTAGCAATGTGGAGCATCCTTTCATGTGCCTGTTGGCCATCTGAATTTCTTTGGAGAAGTGTCTAGTCATATCCTCTGCCCATGTTTTAATTGGGTTATTTGCTTTTTGGGTGTTGAGGCATGTGATTTCTTTATATGTTTTGGATGTTAACCCCTTGTCAGATATGTCATTTACAAATATATTCTCCCATACCGTAGGATGAGTTTTTGTTCTGTTGATGGTGTCCTTTGCTATACAGGAAATTTTTAGTTTGATGTAGTCCCATGAGTTCATTTTTGCTTTTGTTTCCCTTTCTCAAGGAGATGCATTCAGGAAGAAGTTGCTCCTGCTTGTATTCAGGAGATGTTTGTCTATGTTGTCTTCTAAGGGTTTTATGGTTTTCTGACTTACATTCAAGTCTTTAATCCATTTCGACTTTAGTTTTGTGTATGGGGTTAAACAATAATCCAGTGTCATTCTTTTGCACGTAGCTGTTCAGTTTTGCCAACACCAGCTGTTGAAGAGGCTGTCATTTCCCCATTGTATGTCCATGGCTCCTTTATCATATATTAATTGACCATATATGGTTGGGTTTATATCAGGGCTCTGTAGTCTGTTCCATTGGTCTATGGGTCTGTTCTTGTGCCAGTACCAAATTGTCTTGATTACAGTGGCTTTGTAGTAGAGCTTGAAGTTGGGGAGTGTAATCCTCCAGCTTTATTCTTCCTTCTCAGAATTGCTTTGACTATTTGAGGTCTTTTATGGTTCTATATGAATTTTAGGACAATTTTCTCTAGGTCATTGAAGAATGCTATTGGTATTTTGATAGGGATTGCATTGAATCTGTAGATAGTTTTAGGCAGGATGGCCATTTTGACAATATTAATTCCTCCTATCCATGAGCATGGGCTGTGTTTCCACTTATTGGTATCTTCTTTAATTTCTTTCATGAGTGTCTTGTAGTTTTCAGAGTGTAGGTCTTTCACTTCCTTGGTTAGGTTAATTCCTAGGTATTTTACTCTTTTTGATGCAATTGAGAATGGAATTGTTTTCCTGATTTCTCTCTCTGCTAGTTCATTGTTAGTGTATAGGTATGCCACAGATTTCTGTGTATTAATATTGTATCCTGCAACTTTGCTGAATTCAGATATTAGTTATAGTAGTTTTGGAGTGGAGTCTTTTAGGTTTTTTTCTGTGCAACGTCATGTCATCTGCAAATAGTGACAGTTGGACTTCTTTACCAATCTGGATGCATTTTATTTCTTTGTGTTGTCTGACTGCTGTGGCCAGGACCTCCAGTACTATGTTGAATAACAGAGGGGAGAGTGGGCATCCCTGTCTTGTTCCCAATCTTGGTGAAAAGCTTTCAGCTTCTTGCTGTTAAGTATGATTTTTCAGTCATTTTTTTCGGTGGCAAAATTTTTATCATTAAATGAAGAAGTTTTTATTTCTTTAGAGAAAAAGACCAAACGGATAAAGATTCAGACCTCTGAAATGAGAGCTCAGGTACAGCACATGAAAAACAGGATAATTTATCTGCCTTGAGGCATGGTGGGATCACAATACTAGCATGGCTCTTACACCTGTGGAGATCTTCCAGTTGTCATTATCTGAGTCATGTATTATTTCCAACGCACCCTTCTTAGGAAAGGAGCTCTGTGAGAAGAAAGGGAAGCCCTCGCACTGGACAGCCCACCACCTGCACAGTGTATGGGTGTACGGGGGCCCTGCTCTAGTATTTGCCAAAATCCTGCTACAGATGAAAATATCACATAGGCATTGCTCTAGTTTTTTCATGCTTCATGAAAATGATGTATGAGGAAAAAAAACAGAAAACATCACCGAGTACCCACTTTTCCAAGGAGTATTTGGCAATACCAAGGATTAAACAAATTCACACACACACACACACACACACACACACACACACACACACACACACACACACACACACACTCCTTGCCTTTAAGCTGCTTAGTAAGACAGCCACACAAATAATGAAACGCTCCAATAGTTAACTCCCCATATATGCCCCAAGGAACTATGAGGGGTGGCAGAGTTCCAAGGAAGGCCAGTTCACGGAAAGGAGGGAAGCTTTAGAAGAGGGAGAAGGTCATTTCCTGACTGATGGAGACAAGATTCAGGGGGAAGTGTGAGGCCAGAGAGCTCTAGAGGAGCTGTGTGTGTATAATTCTGTGTGGGGGCTACCGCAGAAAACTGGTTCTGACCTTTAACGATGTACCCGATGCTCCCCTGGGCCCAGGGATGGAAGACTGCCCTTGTAATAAGGTCCAAAGGAAAATGCCATCACCATCACCATCACTGTCTCCTTCGTGGGGGTATGTCAGCCTGCAGCCTCTACAACTTGCAAGAATGATTTATGGGCACATGATGTGGAACATGACATGCCTGTGCTGGCTGTCATCAACTTAGGGGGAGATGTGGGATTTGGGGGTCTGGTGGCTGGCAGCCAGGCAGCCTGATATCCAATTGTGTCTCCATCCCCTTCCAGCTCTGGATCAGAGGGACACTATGTGACTCAGTCCTCGCCTCTCAGACCAAGGACAGCCACAGTCCCACACTGGGAGCGACTGAGGTGTGAGTGCTTTGACAACAACTCTCGTCCAGCCTAGGCACCCGGCCAGAGAAGGCCTGCCCTCAGCCCACCACACAGAGCAGCTGGCCAGCCAGTCCTGAACCTGCAGGTGCCACTTGAAGAGCCCAGCAAAGAAGGCACTGCCTGGAGGCGGTATCCAGAACAGCATGGTTCTGGCTCAAGTTCCGGGCTCTGCCACTGGTGGCTGCAACCTGCCTGGGTTGAGTGGAAGTGAGAGCTTTTGCAGCAGAGGGGTTCCTTCTTGGCCTGAACAGCAGGAGAAAGCAAGCAAATGTGTTCTTAATCCATACCACCAGTATCTATTTTCTTGCCTGACCCGGTTGTGATCAGAGACCCTTCAATTAGGCCACTCTGAGGTCTCTGGAGTTGTGATCTGGCAGAACGGTTAGACCTGACCCCATGGCACTGGCCTCCCACCCTC